GCGCAGGGTAGCAGGAAGCTCTCCACACACTCACCGGACCTGGGCTAGGACTGGGTCTGGGGGTTCCCGGAAGTCGGCAGAAATTCCTACTGGGCGGGAGGGCTTGGATTTTGTTTCTTGATCCACTCTGCCATTCTGCTTTTTTTGATTGGTGAATTGAGGCCATTTCCATTGGTGGTTATAACTGATAAATATATTGGCTTATCTTTGTCATGTTTTCTGACTGTAGGTTCCCTACTTTTTCCCTCTGCTTAATTGTTTGATCTGCTTGGTGGTTCTCTTCTGTTGTTCTTGAAGTTGTGGTCTCTAAAATATCTGTCAGTACTCTTTGTAGGGTTGGCTTGATGTTCACGAATTTCCTTAGTTGTTCTTTGTTATAAAAGTATCTTATCTCTTCATTAAGTTTGATAGTTTTGCAGGGTACATCAATCTGAGTTGGAAGTTGTTTTCTCTCAGGACCTCAAATATCTCACTCAAAGATCTTGATTTGATTTGATGTTGTGTTGTGAAATCTGCTGTGATTCTGATGGGCTTTCCATTATAGGTGGTATGTTTCTTTTCTCTAACAGCTTTTACTGTTTGGTTCTTTTGCTGAATTTCTGGGTTCTTGATTATTATGTGTCTTGGTGAGGATATATTTGGATTATGGCTAGCTGGAGTTCTATATCCTCACTAAAATATATATCAACTTCTTTTCCCATGCTTGGGAAATTCTCTGCTACTACTTCTTCAAACACTCTTTTATGTCATTTGTGTTAACTCCTGCTATTTTTTGATACCTATTATTTTTATATTATTTCTCTGTGCATCATCTTGGTAGCTATTGTATTGTTATTTTTTGGTTCCTTGTTGTTTTATTTTTTTGATGTATTTGGTACAGGGTCTCACTATGCAGCTTGGAATCACAGTGATCGTACTGTTTTCAGCTTCCCAAGTGCTGAGATTACAGGCATGCATCACCATGCCTGGTCTTGGTGGCCAGCTCAGCACACCTGGGGGCAGGGCTGGTGTGGCTTATGGTGCCAGGGATCAGAGCCTGCTTCCTGTGTTTATCTAAGCAGCACTTAGTCTACTGAGCCATGTCGCTGGCCCTTCCTTGTTATTTTTAAGAGATCTTTCCTTTCTTGTTCACTAGCTGCCATGCTATATTCAAGATTTGAAATAATAGCTTCTGTTTCATTCAAGTAGTTTTGCCAGCTTTCATTGGAATTCTTAATGTCCTGGATATTTGTTTGAATTTGTTTCATGCATTCTAGTTCTTTCCTGTATTGCTCATTCAATGTTTCCATCGTTTTCCTATTCCCTTCTATTTTTTAATCTATGTCTTCCTTAAATATATTGAGCAATTCTTTCGTGATTGTTGTCATTTCCTTTTTTATTTGAGTGATTATGTCTGATCTGATTTCCTCCAAAGCCTGAGGGAGTTTTTTAATTACTTTAGTTGCTATCATTTCAGAAATTTCAGGTGTGTGACTTCCAAGTTCTTCTGTGACCTTGTATCCTGTACTTGTTTAGGTGGGCTAGTGATCTGAGATTGCATTTTGTTCTTTCTTTTTGTCATTTTTGAAGTTCCCAATTTTGTCAATTTGAAGTTCCCAAAATTTTGTCATTTTTAAAGTTCCCCTACCATCCCCTGCAGTGATGGTAGGAGAATGAGATGTGGGTTAGAAGACTCTTGGGAGAGTGGGAGGACAGGGTAATCTCAAAATTCTTGCTCTGTGAGATTCAATGTGGGTTCCACCTCCACAGATCAAGAAGGATTCTTCCAAGAAAGATTCAGTGATGATGAGTACAGGTCAAAGTTCTGCAAAGCTCTCTTGATAGTGGGTTGGTGCAAAGTAGGGCTCACCAAGGCTCCTGCAGGTCTCTGTGGTCATCTTCCAGCACCTGGTTTTCAGTCTCCATGACAGTCTTCCTGGGTGATGATGGGTGGCCAGGGTTCAGCTTAGCTCTGACAAGGCCAAAGGGTTCAGGACAAGGCTCACCAGGTGCCCTCAGCAGTTCCCCAAGTGAGGGAAGGCAGCTGGGGCTCAGCTGAGCTCCAGTAAGAGGGGGTGGAAAAGTATCCTGGGTCCCTCAGAAGTCTTGTAGGTAAAGATGGGTGGTCAGGACTCAGAAAAACTCTGGTTACAATGGTAGAGGGGGACAAAATTAGGCCTACCAGTTCTCCCCAGCAAGTAGCTGAGACTCAGGAATTATGGTGATTGTGGGGAGGCTCTCTTTACTTTCTCTGGGTGCTTCAGTTTGTTCTTTAGATCCTTTCTGGGTCCAAGTAACCTACTTCCCTCCATCTTGTCTTCCTTGTGATGTTATAGTCTTAGCATCTGGATTGGCAACTCTTAGAGAAGGTCTTTCTCTCCTGTTTACCACTCCACAGTTTTGTTGCTCTTCCTTGCCTTTTTTTAAATGTTACTATTTTTAACAACTAAGGCCTATTTGATCAAACAGATCCTAAATTCATAGGTCTTAACTTTACAGGAACTTACTTTCTGACTACCAGCAAAAATTTTCCAATTACTTAATTCTGCTTTTTGGTCTAGGTTTTCAGTAAATATTGCAAAAAGTGTATATAGATCAACGCAATCCCAATTAAAATACCATTAGTATACCTCATAGATCTAGGAAAAAGAATGAATACAATTCATCTAAAATCAGAAGAGACTTAGAATAGTAAAAACAGTCTTGGGCAACAAAAGAAAGACATGAGGCACTGCAATTCTTGACTTAAAAGTATACTACAAAGCTACTGTGACAAAATCAGCATGGTACTGACAAAAAATCCAAACAGACTTGAGGATCAGTGGAACAGATTAGAAGATGCAGACACAAGTACAAGCACACTCAGCCACTTTATCTTTGACAAAGGGGCCAAATATGTTTAATGGAAGAAAGATGGCCTCATTAGTAAATGGTGCTGGGGGGCCGGGGAGATGGCTCAGTGGAATAAGCACTTCCCTGGCAAGCACAAGGACCTGAGTTCAATCCCCGGTTCCACCAAAAAAAAAAAAAAAAAAGGTGCTGGATAAACTGGCTTTCCACTTACCAAAATCTAAAATTAGACCCATGTCTATCACCATGCACTAACCTACAGTTAAAATGGATCAAATATTTAAATATTGAAACTGAAACACTAAATCTACTCAAGGAGAAAGTAGGTAGAAATCTTGATGCTGGGCTCCGGAGCAGGCATGAGTGATTTGAGTGAAGAATTGACAAGGCCGGGGTCAGACGGTGACCAAGTGGAAACATGTGTGGTCTCTGGTGCGGGCATGCACTTCCCGTGGCTGCGCAAACATCTAGACAGCGTGGCAGCTGGAGGGAAGAAGAAGAAGGACTTTGCGCAGACCACAGGTGCTTGTCTGAGTCTCGCCCAGGAGGCCTTGCTGCAGCAGCAGTGGCCGCGCGCCGCCGAGTTCATGTACAGCTACCTGCAGACCCTGGAGGACTCGGACAGCAGCCAGCGGCAGGCTGCGCCCGAGATTATATGGAAGCTTGGAAGCGAAATTCTATTTTACCACCCCAAAAGCAACGTGGAGACTTTCAGTGCCTTTGCGGACCAGATGAAGAACATCGGCGTCTTGAATTACCTGAAGATCTCCTTGCAGCACGCGCTGTACCTTATTCACCATGGGATGCTAGAGGACGCGAACAGAACTCTCAGCCAGGCGGAGACGTGGCGGTACGGGGAGAAGTCGTCTTCCCAGGAAATACTGATCAACCTTGTTCAGGCCTATAAAGGGCTTTTGGAATATTACAGCTGGTCGAAGAAGAAGATGGAATTGTCGCAGCTTGATAAGGATGATTATGCTTACAATACAGAAGCCCGAAATATATTGAGCCACAGTTGGAAGACATCTGTACATTTTAGTGCACTGATTAAAACTCCTGGAGTTTGGGACCCTTTCGTGAAGAGTTACGTGGAGATGCTGGAATTCTATGGTGACCAAGATGGGGCCCGAAAGGTACTCACCAATTATGCGTACGATGAAAAGTTCCCGTCCAATCCAAATGCCCACATCTACTTGTATAACTTTCTAAAGAGAGCGAAGGCACCAAGATCAGAGCTGCTCAGCGTGCTGAAGATTTTGTATCAGATTGTACCGTCTCATAAACTGATGTTAGAATTCCATCTGTTACTTAGAAAATCAGAAAAGGAAGAGCACCGTAAACTGGGGCTGGAAGTGCTCTTCAGCCTCCTGGACTTTGCCGGGTGCACTAAGAGCGTGACTGCTTGGAGGTGCCTGGCGAGTTACCTGCGACAGACTCTGATGGCGAACCATCTTGGGTGGGTCCAGGAAGAATGGGAGTCTAGGAGGAACTGGTGGCCTACCTTCCACTTCAGCTACTTTTGGGCAAAAAGCGATTGGAAGGAAGATAAAGATTTGGCTTATGAGAAAGCATTTGTAGCTGGAACGCTGTTAGGCAAAGGTTGTAAGTATTTTCGATATATTTTAAAACAAGATCATCAAGACCTGAGGAAGAAAATTAAGCAGATGAAGAAATCAGTGAGAAGATACAGCATTGTGAAACCAGCAGTAGATTAAATTTTAGTTATTTTTCAATTGCAGCCATAGAGTGGTGGGTAGCTCAGTAGTTACTGAATGTATTTATTTAAGGTTTTAAGAAACTATAAACTTTTCTTTATTTTGGTCTTTTTGAGACAGGGTCTCATTATGCAGTTCAGGCTGGCCTTGAACTCACTATGTAGCTGGCCTTAAAACAGTGATCCTCCTGCCTCAGCCTCCTGAGTGGTGGGATTATAGACTTGTATTATAAGTTATATAAACATTTTTATACTTTTTATATTTCATGTTGTTATAGCTGAAAAAAAATGCACTGCCTTTGCTCTTTGTAAACATGTATTTTTTTCTGTTTTGTAATGTTGAATGCACTATTTTTAAAGGAATGACTTTTCAGATAAGAAATATTTGTTTAATTAGAAAATATAGCTATATAGCAGTTATTGTTTACAGATAACTTGTCTCATGTGCTGTGTAATAAAATACAGAACATGTGCTGCTAGGAAAAAAAAAAAAGAAATCTTGATGCTGTCAGGGTAGGCAGAGAGATCATGAGGAAAAAATAGACTGCTCAGAAAATACTTCAGTCACAAGTGGCATCTTTTGAAAAGGTGTTTTTTGGTTTTTTTTTTTTGTTGTTGTTGTTGTTTGTTTGTTTTTTTTGCATTGAAAGAAATCAAGAGAGTAAAAGGAAAACCCACAAATTGGGCAAACTTTTAGCTGACTGCCTCTCAGATAACGGACTTCTGTCTAGAACACATAAGAATTAAAACAATCTGTCTGGTAAAATAGCTCAGTGGATTAAAATGCCTTCTTAGGCAGATGCAGTGGCTAGGATTTGATCTCTGGCATGCCATGCCAGCCCCATCCCTTGGGCACAATGAGATGGCAATTGAAACTGGGTATGGTGGTGCGCGCCTGTAATCCCAGTTCTTGGGAAGATGAACACAGGAGGATCACTACAAGTCTGATCTACATAGTGAGACCCTGTAGACCCTGTACTAAAAGTAAAAAAAAAAAGAAAAAAGAAAAAAAAAGAATTTAAAAAATCAAAAATTCAAAGATCCAATCAAAAAATGGGCATCTGAGATGAATATATATTTCTCAGATGAAGAAATACAAATGGCAAATAAATATATGAAAAAATTTTCAAAATCATTGATTATTTGAGAAATGCAAATTAAAACAACACTGAGATTCCATCTCACCCCAGAAAGAATGGCTATCTTCAAGAAGTCAACCAATAACAAATGCTTGAGGGATTGTACGGAAAAAGGAAAATTTCTTCACTGATGATAGGAGTGCAGACTGGTATAACTACTGTGGGAATCAGTGTGGAGACTCCTCAAAACACAAGGATTGAAAGTCCCATTCAAGCCAGCTATTCTCCTTCTGAATATTTTTTCCAGAAGAACTGAAAACATATGTCAGGAATATGTGTTCTACCCATGTTTATGGCAGTGCAATTTGTCATAGATAAATCTTGGAAACAACCCAAATTCTCATCATCTCAGGAATGGATAAAAAAAGATGTGCTATTCTTGCACAATGGACTATTACTCAGTTATAAAAAAGATAAAGTTGAGAATTTTATAGGTAAATGGATGCAACTCAAGACAATACTCATAAGTGAAATAAATCAGACCTGCATATGTAAACGTTATATGGTCTCCCTAGTGGAAGAACCTGAAAGAGTAACTAAAATCAGAATGGTAGAATAGACAGTGTGAGAGGGCAAGAAACTGCTGAAAGGAAACTACTGTCATGAGAAGAAGGAAAAAAGGAAGGGAGAAGGAAGGGGAAAATATGTGTGTATATACATAGCTTGGATAATTGTATGCTGATTTCTACCAGTCTAATGAAAGAAACAGTTAATGTTTAATTTGTTTTCCTTTTGTAAACTTTTTTTGACCAATTTTGTCTGGTTATGTCTGGTAAACTATTGCCTAATTGGATTTTTTTTTATGTGACTCAGGCTGCCTGAAGGGCAGGGCTAGCTGGGGTTCAAACCTCTGTATCCTGCTCCTGACTGCCTTTGCTTAAGCAGGCACTTAAATGACTGAGCTAAGGGCAGGCCCCCTAAATCTTTTTTTTTTTTTTTTCAGAACCAGGGATTGAACTCAACTGTTGCCTAATTGGAAGGCAACAATATGCAATATAGCAACCATTGTTGAGTTAATATCGTTTTGTTTAGTGGGGTTGTGTAACATTTTTACTTTGTTAACTATTTTTTATTCCCTTAAAAAATAAAAATTATTTTAAAAAATCAGAGTACTCATACCACAGCCTTAATATTGGCTGCCTTAAAGTTTCATCACCAGATCAATTAGTATGCAGTTCTTAATCTCAATCCCCCACAAAATATCTGGACATGAGCAAATGCAGAAACATTTTCTGTCAGAGATTAACACACATGGTTTTGAGTCCACATGCCAGTGGGGTTCTTGTTTTTAATTGAAACCTCTTGAGCCTGGTTGTAATATTTGCCTTTCTATCAGTGTCCTGGTCTTCTGAACTCTGACCAGAATCTCCCATGAAGCTTGTTTTATAACATTCTAGGTATTCTTTACTCAATATCTCCAAATCTTTCAAACTCCTTCCACAAGCCAGTTCCAAAGACTTCTAACCCACATGATTAGACAGTCACAACCATGACCCCACTCCTTGTACAAAAGTCTTTTCTCTGAGACAATATTGGACACCAGTGATAACGTTTATCTAGGCTAATATTTCATTTTGTAGTTTGTTGGTTCCAAGATGGAAAGGGTTTGGTGAAAGGGTCTGGAGAAGGAAAACTATGTAAGTCATGAGAACCAGGAAGCAGAGAGAGAGAGCGAGAGCGAGAGTGAGAGCGAGAGCGAGAGCGAGAGCGAGAGAGAGAGAGAGAGAGAGAAGAGAAGAGAAGAGAAGAGAAGAGAATGGAGGAGCTGATGAGGGAGATAAATAACCATTCCAGGTCATGCCCCCAGTGACCCACCTCTTTATATCCCTTCCAGCTATAGTGACTCCATTCCATTCCAACAGTCTTCCAGAAGTCCTACCCTTGAACTCATGAGTTTTTGGAACCATTCTTGACCTAAACCATGACAAATCCTAGATTGGAACTTTGGGAGACCTCAAAATATTCCAAGGACACACACAACTGGGCCACCAAGGTGGCTGGTGCTACTACTAAAATTAGAGTTCTGTGGAGGTAGGGTTGCCAAATTGGAATGTCCCTACCTTTGGTTCAGGTCAGAGCCACACTACCTGTCCTTGAGCCACATGGCACAATGGATTCCTGAGCCCTGCTTTCAATCTATATCAAAGAAAGATGAATCTCTGGGAGCCTCTGTGATAGCTGCCTATGAGGTACCTGTGCCTGGGTGCATCTGCAGCAGGGGCAGATGAAACCTTTCTCCTCCTCTGGTGCCTCTCTTTTGCCTTCCAAAGCAGGCATGGATGGGAGCATCTGTCTGGCAGAACCTAATCACATTTGAAAGCCCAGCTGCAAAGGAACTGGAGAGTGCATTTTATAGGTCCCTACTCTGCAGTTCAGGGATACATAAGAAGAACCAGCTAGTGGAAGATGAATGAGCCAGGATTCAGATCTCAGGTTTCAGAATTTTAAACCTTGGATTGGAGTCTTCCTTCCTTCCCTTGGTACTCTGTGACCCTGGCTAAGTTGTGTCACTTTCCTGAATCTCAGTCTTCTCGGTTGTAAGGTGTGAAATACAAGCAGCTGCCACGTGAAATTTTGTAAGGGCTTCTATGGTTTAGATGTGGTTTATCCTCTCTAAAACTCATGATGAAGTTTGATCCTCAATACAATGGTGTTAAAAGGTGGCAGGACATTGGAAGGTAGAGCCTTGAGGGAGGTGATTGCATCTTGAGGTACTGCATACTGGCTCTTGGGACTGGGGAAGGATGGGGGGATTGTAACACCTACATAGTATGGGGCTTATGTGCCTGAACCTGAACTCCAGTCTTTGTTGGTCTCTTCAAGGACTCCTGCAGATTAGGAACTCCTGTCAGCAAGTAGAGCCCCTGCCTGATAGCCATTTTAGTAGACTGAGGCTGTGAGTGGAATAGGGCAGTGCTTATGGCCACTGAGTTGGGGCCTGAGATTACTTTCTGGTGGCCTTTGCAAGGCAAATTGTATTGAGATGAATGAAGTATTGTCTCCTCAGTGTTCTGGAATTTCATTATTCTAGTAATGAGAAGGCATTGGCTATGTTCTAATGGATTAACTGAAGCTCTTATAGAACAGGGCCATAGGTGAAATTTACGTATTCTGACTGGGTGCCATTTTCAAGAGATTGAATGCACAGCCTCAGTCTTTTGTAATCCACATTAATCCACCATCCTACTCACTAAGGGGAGTGTCAGTGGTAGAGGGCTTGCCTAGCATACTTAAGCACTTTGTTCCACTCCCACTACCACAAAATCTAACAAACCACCAACAATGAAGACAAAAACTTTCATGGCAGTCAATTGTCCAATTCCTGTCTTTTGAGGACACATTGAAACCATAGCACTGAGAAAGCCCAAAGCACTATGAGTGGAGGTAAAGGGCAGCAAGACAAGGAAGTTCTGCAAATCTAAGAGGACACACATCTCAGCTGCCCTGTTTGTGTAGCTCATAACACAGCCTCACAAAGCATCATCAGGAAGACTGTATAGAGGTTTTATATCTCCCAACAGTCAGTCAAGCAAGAAAGCTACAAAAATTTTTCTTCTGGGTCCCTTCTCCTGTTGGTAGGACTTTGCTTCCATGAGGTACTAACTCTGGAACTTCCATGGCATGAATCACTTTACCCCTTCAGCAGGAAGTGAGAGACATTCAATGCTAGGATGCCCAGCAATTGGACAGGAGCCAGCACTCTGTCCACCTGTCCACTTGTGTACTGCAGCCTTGGGTCCCAGTTGACCACTCAGTGCTCATGTGTGGTCACTGAGAACATCACATATATTAATGGACACAAGGGAGGGATGGGAGGTGAGAGATGCCAGCTGGCCAACCCCATAAGCAACACAAGGCAAGGAGCAGCTGTCACAGCAGCTCCACCCAGGTATGCTCATGGATCACAATGATGGCTGGTCATCACTGTTTCCAATACCAAACTGTTGATATCTGTGCTCTTGTATTTCATCTTCGTGGTATCATGACTATATA